AAAAATATCTTGCCATCCCCAAACTTTTGGACAATAGCGTATAAATATTGGCATTATATCAGCCAGGTGACCATGTTTTTTTTATTTAAAATAATTATTAATTAAAAATAAAAAAATGTGAATTATTAGTGTGCATACAGTGCGTTTAATTAAAGGTCTACATGAAGATGTGGAGTCAAAATCTGAATCAGGAAGTTACTAATAGTGAAATTATTTAAATGTATCCCTACAATTTACTATTAAATTGTAATACTTCTATGAGCTCCGTCTTAATATATGTTGTCCATACAGTGGAATCCAAAAGTTTGAGAGCACATTAAAATCTAATTCAATTGAAGCCTGAAAAAAGTTTTAGGATTTGAAAAAAAAAAAAAAAAAGGAATACAATTAAATGAAATAAAAAATGTTAGATTCGGATTTTGAGGTCACTAATCAATTTGTGAACTCCTTTGAACAAAAGGTCACAAGTCTAATCTGCTAATAGATAATTTGGCAAAATAGAAGCATTTTCACTGGAGGTCTCAGACCTTTGGACTGCACTGCATATGTACAGATCAATCACAGTATGTCTCTGGTGCCAAAAACAATCTGCTTTCCATTGCATTAAACACTAATCGCGAATACAATTATTTTGCTCAAAACATTCCTTATTCAAGGTTCTGTTTATTCTAGCAAGATAAAAGGTGAATGTAGGAGTCCATGAAATTTCCTGTCGGCAGTTTTTCATTTCTATGCTAATTCCGCTCAGCTGAATGAGAGTGGCAGTGGCAAGGCTAAACAGTGGCAAGGCTAAACAGCCTCGGTAAAGATATGTCTGTGGGCAGCGAGCTTCAGCAGACCTTGAGGCAAAGAGTGAAAAGAACGAAAGAGCTCACAAAAGAAACAAACGTAAAGGCTGAGCCGATCACCACCCCCTCCCCAACCTCTCTCACTCACTCTGCTTTCCTCTAGTCTCTCCTTTGCTTTGTTCATACACACACACACACACACAAACACACTCCCCCACAGACACACACATCCTCGCTCCTCTCGTCTCCCCTTTTTACCATTTTCATCTCTCTATCTGTCATTTTGACAGTGCAAATATTCTGAATCCAGCATTGTCAAAGTGCTCTCTGAGCTTTTCATTATACAGAGTAATTAACTGTCAAAGTGAACACCACACCTCATATTTTGTTTTCTCACAATGCTATGGTGCATAGATGTATCCAGCAATGATCAAAGAGATCAAGTGCTAATTTGTTGGTTCAATTAATAAGCGAATATGTCAAGTTACACAGACGAAATTCAAAAAGTGTGTGATGTTTTCTTATACATGTGCGCACATGCGGTTTTACGGCACAAGTAGCTGGTGGTTTTAAGTGAATGGTTGCGAGCATATAAGGTGGGGGGTGGGAGGGTGGTTGGCTGGTTGGTTGCTATGCATCATTCCGACTCCCTTTCAGTCCCACTTGAATGCTGGAGTTGAGTTTCCATGGAAACACTGACCCCTGGGAGTCGATGCTTTTCAGGAGGTGCCTCTATTTACCTAGTGATTCACAGCTCAGGAAGTACAAAAACAAAACACACAAGCATCTTTCTATTTATCTTCTAATGCATAATTTTCTGGGCTCATCAGTGCTGCAGTTTTCCTCTCTTGTAATTTTTATAAGAATATAATTTTAATCATATTTTTTGTTTTCTGCTTCCTGTCTCATATTTGTTTTGATATAGGGTAAACGTACCTATTAAACTCACGTACCCATTAAGCACTCTTCCACATTTGAGCTCAGATTATAAAAAGAAAAAATAATGTATTATCATACTTGATGTCTTAACCAATTGATGTGTTTGTTACTACATAGCTCCTGTAATTTCAAATAAATCAGATTATTGCAGACTTTAAATATTAAGTGATGGTTGTCACTTTAAGTTAAGTTAAGTTAATTGATTTTCTATGGATTGTCAACTCAAATCTGCAGACTGGCTCTGACCTTTGCCAACTACTGTGAACTTCTCCAGACTGTAAATCTGTGGAAAATCAAGGCAAAAATCATGTAGTGTATTCCAGCCTTAAGAGACTATAGATAGGTTGACATCCATTTAATAAGAGGCTTCATAATGAGGATAGTTTCTGTGTTCATCCCCATGAATGAAATGTTTTATTGGTTTGTTTTATTTGATTTTTGAATTTGTGTTACTTAGCTGAACGCAGACTAGTCTAGATGTTGCAATGTGCTTAAATGACACTTCATTCTGAATATACAACTGATCGACTTGAATGCCTTGTTGCTTGATTTTAGTGTTCTGTTTTTTTTTTTTGTGATTGACTTTGTACCTTCAAAAAAAAATTTTTTTTTTTAGTTTTTTTTTTTTTTTTTTTTTTTTTTACGGTATAGTATAGTCTTCCTACATACCTCCTGTAATTTCAAGTCAATCAGATCATTGCACGCTGAGATACGAGTCTCCATGTGGTCACACTGTCTGGTGGTCATTTTGAAAGCTGTCTAAAAACTTTCACCAAAAGAGTAGCTCCTTAAATGTGCATTTTTTAGATATTTAAGCCTTTATTTTGGGTAAGTTTCACTACTTATTGTAAAATTAAGAGATTAATGTTTAGACTTTTGCATATTATAACCTGGAAC